TAGCTAAAAATCGCAATTAGCTATTCTATGTATATCCAAGATTTTAAAATAACACTAATCAATTTTCTCAATTAGTTCTGTTAGGTTAGTTTTCCCAGAGTCGAGTTACGAACAATCCAAATAATTCGATTACTAATTGTGGGCCTCAAAATGGATTGCTGTCTTTTTTTCCCTGAACAAGTGATTCTGTATAAATACGGTAGACACAAAATGATATGACGCGATACGGAGAAACTATCTGTTATTCCAAAGTATAAAATAATCACGCTGATTAATCGGCACAATAAATTACCGAATCGTTGACTTGACGAAACTTATCGAATCTTATACTGCGGAAGTGCGCGTCTGTATAGGTTTGAAAATACTTTAGACGATCTACCAGCTGTTGAAAATCAGCGGATTAAACATAAACGTATATGGATTAACGCATAATAATAATTGGTAAAGTACGCTACTGTAACTGTATTACTACAGGGTGAGGAAAAAGTACCGGACCGGTGAAATATAATATCTCGAAAAATATGGGAGATACGGAAAAATATTTCAGACAAAAGTTGTACAGTTTTAAAAGGGCTATATAATGGTAAAATTAATTTTCGAAGAAACTTAATTTTTTATGGTTATATGAAGGTCGCCGTCATTTTTTAAAATGGAACTTCCTATTGTTTATTATACTATCTTATTCTACTAATTAGTATGAACAACTATTGTCTGAAACATTTTTTTATTTGCCTAATACTTTTTGAAATATTCAAGAGAAAATTTATAACTTTTTCAATGTTTAGCTTATAATATCTCGATAACTATTTGTCGGAGGGGAAAGTAGTACAGGACTTTTTTTTTACTTGATTTAGTCTCAGGAATATGCTGTGGCAATGGTGTTTTAATTATTAAAAATTTGTGTGTATTGTAACACATAAAATTTACATACATTTTTTTAAATTGTGTTTTAATGTGAATTTTACAATTGTATGTTACAGAATACACGCAGTTAAACTCCGCTGCTGCGCATCCGGGTCGGTGAGTCAGAAATTTGTTTATTAAGGCAACGAATATACATATCTCGTAGAACGTAGTTTGTAGATAGTATATTAATATATCTTGTATATTCGTTGCCTTAAAATAGATAGGTTACAAATGCTAACGGCAATTAAATTATTTATTTAATATATTAAATCTCCGGAGAGGAGTGAAAGCGATTCTCAATGTGGAGAGTTGGGTGCCCCGTTGAAGAATCAGAGTTAATCTCTGGTCTTTTATGTCTCGGATCCCCGGAAGCAACGGTTTCGGCACGAGGGCGCGACGTCGACTCGTGAATTTAACTAAAAAAAAAAGAGAGAGAAGATTTTATGTATATCCTTCTCAATAAATATTCTCCCATTAACAATAATGGAAGAATTATTTATATTTTAATAAAAATGAACATATATACGAGATTGAATAATTTGAGAAACGATCGTCGTTAACTTCCTGCCGAAATGACTGCTATCGGAGGCAATCCGTAAGATCTGGGATTCATTCCTCCTTACAGCGGAGCCTTTGACGTTCAACGGGTTCTTGAAGTGTCATTCTCATTTGTTTAATTTCATAGAACTCGACAAATCAAAGTATGTCGAGCTCATTTTCCATGTTGAGAATCGTTGAACTTATACATCACAGAACTTAAGCGACATATGAATATTATTGATGTATTCGTCGAGCTAATAATCTTGTAACCTATCTATTTTTATTAACGAATTTGTATGTACGAAATGTAAATGTAATGTGTATGTACGTATGTACGTGATATACGTACTTTCAAGATGCGTCTCGCATGAATACATGCATATAGTCACACGCATCTTTGTATTTTGGCGGTCGGTTTTCGCGGTCGGTTTTCGCGATCGATTTTTCAGGAAAAATTTTCAATTAATTATTTAATTTTATCCATATTATAAATTTTAATTTATCGAGGAATATGATTAAAATCACTCTAACGCGAAGTAAATTTTATGCTATATCTACTTGAATTTCGAATTCAAAGATCAAGTTACGAAGAGATGGTCAATATTTTTGAATAAATAACGGAAGTAAAAATCAATTTGACTCGTATATACAGTAAAGATTTTTGAATTAATATTCTTCTTTAATTAACTTCTCGTGGTCTTGCATTTTTCGATACGATCGACACTCGTATATTCGAACCGTACGAAATATTTATCGGTGACGATAACCGACTATGGAAGGAGTTTTCTTCCTTCCTGATCTCTGGTCAAAATGACCAGATTGTATGGCCGGGAGCAACGAAAGGTATGTCCAATCTGGCCCACCGAGGGACTAAATACGACGAGGTATGTGGTCAATATTGGCCACTTTGATGGAGTACCTAAGTAAGGTGCTATATGAAGTATACTTTGATTTCTTTTGATTTGTCACAATTCGGGTGGGTTATGCTTCTATATAGTATACATACATTCTCGCATATGTGTGAGAGTAAACCCCTATTAAATCCCGCGGGCGCGTTAAACTCCAAGTCAAACCCCCAGAAAATCGCGTCGGTTGATTAAAGATTTGTAGATTCATTGTCGTTGAAACACAAGTAGGTAGAAAATGAATAGGTAGGTCTATAGGTCAGAATACGTCTAGGATACCAAAATAATAAATTTATTAACAATCTTTTTGGGGGGTCGCGATTACATACATGAATTGAATGAAATAAAATAAATTTTAGAAATATTATTTGACGATTAATAAAAACTTTGATAAATATATTCAATAGATACATAGTTTACAAAAATTTTGTGGTATTGTGTGCATACCGAATATTTTAGATTTAACGTCAAAAGAAATATTATATTGTACAGATATTATATTTCTAATTTTATAATATAATTATTTATTTTATGATGTTGTATGTATTGTAAAGTAAATTATAAGTAAAATGAAATAAATAATAAACATGGAAAGCCAAATTTTAAAGGAAAGAGGACCGCCGATCAAAATCGGCGGGGCTGGTGGAGGGTTTCTACAAGTTTAGTTTGTTTTCATCGGGCAACATTTTAAGTTAAATCTAAACAAAAGACATTATTTTATTTATATCTCATTTAAGTGAATAGATTTTTTGTCGAGGCTTCTAAATGTAATTTCAATGATTCCATGCTGTTTTCTATATTTTATCTGAATAGTTGGACACTGTCGATTTGCACACAAGAAGTACATAATTTGTATATTACACAAATGTTTTCATAAATTGACAGTTCTAGATTTGAAAAGTACAAAATGTGCAGAATCACTTCTGCATTATAAGACTTGTGCGTACAAATCAAAAGTGTTCCACTATTCGGACTAAATCAAAGAACAGCATGGTATCATTGAAATTAAGTTTAAATGTCAAAAAGAAATCTATTCACTTAAATAAGTTACAGGGACCCTTAATTTTTTAAATATATTTTCCTTTACAATTTGATTTTTCATTTGTACGTTAATAAAAAAATGTTACACAATAGCCACAGCTTCATGTATTACATGTTTAAAAATAATAAATGATAAAAATGTAAAAACAATTATTGCGAAGTAGGAAAGACCGCCGAGAAAAATTTGGCGGGGGTGGTGGAGGGCTTCTACAAGTTAGTTTGTTCGCTCACACAACGAAAAATTAATAATTCTGTTTTTATTGACATTTCGTGCATATAGCACGGAACACAATCTAAACGTGTACACCTGCGTTATCCGCTGAGCTCTCAGGCTTCTCTTCTTCTTATTACTGGCACTCGGCTCATTGACCACTGAGCCGACACGGCCTCAGGCTTCGAAAGCTGAGGAAGATTGAGAGCGGTTGCGCCATAGACATAGTATATCTAGACTGCTGGTTCTCTCAAATTTCAGGAGTGGGGGTAGAGCTCACGTAGAAAAGGATGCACTCTGTTTCGTGTCTGTGCGTTCTCTCTCGCACAGGTTAGTAACTGCTTCCCTTATCCCCTCTTTTCGCGTGTGCGAGAGAGAACGCACAGACACGAAACAGAGTGCATCCTTTTCTACGTGAGCTCTACCCCCACTCCGCCAACCAGCAGTCTAGATATACTATGTCTATGGGTTGCGCCGAAAATACGTAACGCCATCACATCCATTTTCATGTAAATGTAGGAACTATGATGACCCGGGCTTCTCTCTGATGGTAGCATTTGGTAGCATTGCAGATATTTGACAAGGAAGATAACTTTCCAAGATAACATACATACAGGGTGAGTTTTATTTCGTGAACCAGTCTTTTACCATGAGATATGGATTACCGGCCGAAACTGTAGCCTACCTGGGAAAAAATGGAAAATCTAATTATATGTATATGTTTCAATCATGAAGTATATAATTTTATCTTGAGAGATATAATTGGATATTACACGATTGAAACATATATAACGAGATTTTTTTCCATTTTTCCAGAGTTGGCTACAGTTTTGGTCGGTAATTCGTCTCTCATGGTAAGAAATTGGTTCACAAAATGAAACTCACCCTGTATGTATGTTTCGAACGATACAATCTTTATTGTTATAAAATTAAATAATATGCAATAGTTATTTAAAGTATGCTTTGAAGGTAAAATTACATTGTTAGTACACCAGATTACATGACTCTCCTAGAGCATTTTGGGAAAACCACATTCATGTAACATACATACAGGGTGAGTTTTATTTGGTGAACGAGTCTTTTACTATGAGAGTTGGATTACCGACCGAAACTGTAGCCAACTCTGGAAAAATGGAAAATAATCGTTATACATATGTATACGTTTCAATCATGTAATATCTAATTTTATCTCTCAATATGCAGTTAAATACTACATGTTTGAAACATATTGTATAACGAGATTTTTTCCATTTTTTTCCCGGGTTGGCTACAGTTTCGGTCAGTAATCCATCTCTCATAGTAAACGATTGATTTCCAAAATAAAACTCACCCTGTATGTACAATATAACATGGAAATTTAGAAATGTACTATTTTATATGCAGAATAGCGAAGAAAATTATTCATCTTCCTCCTCCTCCTCCTCTGTTTCTTCATCTTCTTCCTCTTCCTCCTCCTTGTTATCTAACATTCCTTTTTCCTCTATAAAAAAAATATTTTAGAAAATATAAAAAACGCGCATATGTTATTATGATTATCATATTTGATAATTATTTAAGAAATTGTTTTAAGGCAATTACCCATTGGCAATATTGGTGGTAAATGCGTTAATTGATACGCCTCTTCTTCTTTGACAGTAGGATCACGAATTTCCATAATCTCCGGTCCGATTTTGTACTGATCTTGAACAGGTGGCATATTAGAAGGGCTGTAATTATACGCGTTGTATTTGTGGCCCCATCCGATATACACAGTAGCGAAGCGTCTGCGAAATGACACCATCAAAATCATATTAGCGTAATTCTACGCGCATTAATTTCCTTATAATGTAATTGTGGTTCAACATAATTCCCTTTTCATAAGTCGCAAATATTCACAGCAGGGAGCGATAGTTACTGACGTGTGACGAGTTAAGCATGAAATAAGTTTCAAACTGTTTTGCATGAAATTTGATGATGTTGTTTATAGTAAAATATACTGTTTCTCTACTGCAAGAATTTAAAGAAAATTATTTTGCGTTTTAACGCATCATTGACAGTTGGCTGTTAGATAAATCTAAATATTAATCGAAAAAATTTGGATGCATTTTCGTACTTTCCTACCGCGAACGCGAACGCTCCAGGCCAGATATTCGACTTGACTAAAGCTACTGCAATGTCTGGTTGTATATATGTCGATTGTCTAACAGTCCACGGTATCACGGAGTCAACAACAGCATCCTCTGATAAAGGAATTAAGAGAGGTGGTCCGATCTCTTTCTCTGTCATTTTTACTTCATCTTTCTCTATGTCTTCCTCCGCCTCTTCTTCTTCTTCGATTGCATCCTAGTAAATAAAACTCTCTACCAAGCAGCTCGATGAAGTACTTTTGTAAGCAACGACGAAAAATAGTTTTACAGTGGGAGCGAAAATATTTCATTAACTAACATCGACAATCTTTTTCTCCTTCTCGGGATTCCACCAAACAGTTCGTCCTTGTTTAAGAATATATGTACTATGATGACACCAATTTGACATGGAGGGATCGACAAGATCCTTGATCGGTAGTGGATCATAATTAGTGTTTTCTAATAACTCTTCTTCTGTGTAGACTACATGTAAATGATACTATTTCTTTAAATAGTGTATATAGTCAATTTCTAACTTAATAACTATTGCAACTTGCATCTCTTTTTGTCATTACAAAAATATTTAGAGGATAATAGACAACTTTTATAATATTATAAATATTGTCTGTTGAAGAGATAATCTAAAACAAGGATTGCAAGTTTGTTTTCCATTACTTTCTTTTCTTTCTTCTTCTATCTCTTCATCCTCGTCTTCTCCACGGAATGTGAAGAAGCCAATCGGCGAAACATGAGTGGTCGCACTAATCCGTGCAATTTGTGCACGAAGATAATTTTTCTCGGTTCCGGGAAACGGCGGAAAACTGTGAATCTGTCTCGGAAGCGATATACGAATTTAAAGGAAATAAGCCATAAATGAAACAGATTAATATCAAAATGATTTTGTTATACTTCAAAGCTTGCTTGTTGCTAAAGAACTATTACTCCGCATAATTGCTATACCTTACATATCGCTTATAGAGCGTATATCTTTAATTTAACTATGATTTTCTCTGCTGTTCTCGTTCACTTACTAATATCGTACGTCACGCGCAAAACTTTGATACCATACACACCAGATATTATGGATATCAAAGCGGTATGTGGGTTAACTTTATAATGCTTTATGGACGTGTTCACAAATAACATCGCTCTAACCCGGGGTCTCCTTCATTAAAAGGCATCACGTACCGGTGTCTCCAAGTTTCCCGTGCAGTATCGAACAATCTGTCGTGCAATTACTATCTGCTGCGGTGTAACCGTCGGAAGTTCGATCCACTCGTCTAACCCAGGCGCGTTGCATACAAAATACACCTAAATACGATTACCGTGAGATAGTGGCGGATTATTAAAAAATGTGCGACGTGACACCAGTTGGATATTAATTTATTGCGCCACCGTCAAATGTCATCTTTGATGTTCCGGTAATCGAGATCTTAGAAATGCGTACTTTTTTATTGAGACCGCTTCCAATTCTCTCGATCGGTATTTCCGGCAACGGTCTCCACGGATTAGTAGGTAACGCTGGATATATAAGCTCCAAAGGCTTTCCTTTTGACGTATCTTTGCGCGGACTTCCTATTGTTTCGACAGTTCCTTCTATGTCTTTCTCTTTGATTTTTCTCGCCACTTCTTCCTCCACCAGTTTCACCTTGTCGGCTTCAATTTCCTCTTTTTCTTTTCTAGATTGTATTTCATATTCCTCTTGCTAGTTTTTTTAAAAAATATTATGAGATTCTTAGAAGATCTAAAGATCCTATGAATATACAACACAATAATTGCGTTTTGTGTGTGAGAAAAGATATCTTAATACTATGATAAGTGCTTCTTTATTTATGTTTTTAAACTTATTTAGTAGGGTGTATGACAAACATGATTAATTATTGAATATGAATAGTGAATTTTCTCAACGTTACTCATATGATGCCAAACATTTTTAACAATATCATACTCAGAAAACAAATTAAACCGCTAATGCAATGTCTTTTGTATTGTGCAAAATACGACTTTAATTGTATCTTAATATTAATATTTAACCTGTAATCTTCGAGCAAGCTCATCCGCCTGGAGTTCAGCTTCTAGTATATAATAATTTTTAGGCCTTCCAAGTATTTTGCCCCAAAATCTGAAATTATCAATGAAAAGATACGTAAATCAATATACAATGGTATAATATAATCCGGGAATATAAGTTACATAAGTCGAATACCTAATATTTTCAACCGGCATTGTCGAAGCGAACCTCCAGATCGATAAATTAAGCAACACTACTTCGTGTCGTGGCAGTCCTACACCCGTCTGCTCAAAGTAGAACAAAAGATCCAGCATGTTGGGATGTTTCTTTTTTTTATCGGCTTCCTCTTCGTCCCCTAGTTTCTCCTGTTCGTCGTTAATCCGTCTTACACCCTGCCGTGATTGCAAGAAGATTGAAAAGTAAAACGAAGATTATAGTTTGCCTCGTTTGCATCATTTGCATGTATTTATTCTGAGGAAAACTTGAAGTGTGTCGTGGTTTCATTATCTGTTACTTGTCAGACCGCACCTGGAAGAGTTTAATGAGCTTCTTGGCATCGTCGTGTTGCACGGGTGGTATGTACAGATCCCGAAGATAATCCGTCTTAGTCTTAAACCTCTCCTCTTTCAATTTTCTACTGTATTCCTCGAAAATATCAACAGCATTTCGCGGCTGTTCGGCCAGTATCTTTGCCAGAAGCTCGACTAAGTGATCGTATCTAAGATCGTCAGGAGTAAATATTAATTTATTTACTCAGAGTTATCTCCTTTAATAACTTTTCTTTATTTGTATATTTAATACACTTCCAAGTTTTCATAATGCATAAAAACTTTACATTATTATCTAATGTTAAAAAAAATTATTTGAAAATTAATGCGGTGCAATGGCTTCCACTAAAATCACACCACTAAGTTGTTTTCGGTGAAGGAGAAATACGGTAAATACGTGAAATATTGAAAAGGACGCGACAAAGAGAACACAATTGTATAACTTTTATCGCAGGAAATTCAGTGATGCGCGTACAAACTGTCACCCGATTCTGTGCTATGTTTCTGAAGAAATAGCTTCGCACGTCGGATATCGTGCTTCACGCTGGGAACGTCGTCGGGAGGTGCTTCTTCTACGATATAAGAATATGCCATTCTTATTATGTTGTTTTCCACGTCTCACCGCATGCATCTAGCTCGCAAAATTGCATGCAATGTCACACCGCCGGATACTCAGTAATATTATCGCACTAACGTAACCACTACGCAAGCTCTCTGTCATCGTTTGGTAACTTATATCAGCGCCAACTGATTTTTTTTAATCGACGCTGTTCATCCGTTTCTTCCGTTCATCGCCATCCTGTGTCGCGAAATCGCTGCGATTGCTGTTACAAAAATATAAAATCTTATCTAGTGACCTAATTATTTCAACGCGCCACGCTGCTAAAAATGCTTTTAATCAGCTTTGTCAAAAGTAGATAGAACGATAGCTGAGATAAATGTCTCCTACGCACCGAACGAAAACCCATTTCCGAATGACGATGTAAGACGCAAACAGTTATACAAAAAAAAATATATTTAAAAGACAGCTCCGCGTTTAAAGTGCAAATACATTTATATACACATATTTCACTTTATTCAGTTGGATATATGTGAATATAGCTTTTTTTATAATAGTTTAAAATATTTCTTATGCATCTGTATCTTTATGAAACATATATTTTCCCTTCTTTCTCTTTCTGTCTCTCTCTGTTATACGATATAACAATACAATCGTTCTTTTGATAATTCTCTGAGGTGAATTAAAAGGAAGATGTGAATGAATAATTTGGCTCGATAAATATGAATCATTCGCGTACAGTTCTATCAGTTTGCATCCTGGAACGTAGTTATCGTCTATCGGGTGTCCTAAATATGACGGACATTTCTCGAGGTCGCTGGCTGTTTCCTTTGACGCCCACCCTCCTTTTACAGCGTAGAACACGTGCCCCGTCTTCAAAAACTACCGCAACGATAAATGTCGAGGCTTTCTGATTGAAAAGTTCAGAAAATCTCCGTGTCGTTAAATATAGGCTCAGAGACGATAGCTTTCATCTTCACTTATAAAGTCCTTATAAGTATGGAATAAAAATACTTTACATTCCATTACTTTATTAATTATTTACGCATACATGTTTGGGTAGAAATTTTATAGATTAATGTTAATAATTGATAATTTTTTGTAGTTAAATAAATTCGTGGCAAAAAAATTTGCTCCGCTAATTATCCAGTATTTTCAATAAATGTTCATTTCAACACGGTCTTTCAAAATTACTCTTTGATCTACATGTATGTTCATACATGGTACATATGATATCCAGACTGACGTTTATGCGCTACAATATTTATACATACAGCATGTCCTTTCCAGACATCAAATAAAACTTACCGTTTCAAAAAACGTTTTCAGTTGGAGTTTTTAAAAACTTGCGTAATTCAGTGCAACACGCTTGCATAATTATTGTAAGCTATTATGTACATTGTGTATTTTTGTCGAGACAGCTGAAGTATAAATGGCCACTGACCACAAATATAGAATTGTTATTAACAAAACTAGGAATGTTTTGAAGAAAAAAATTTGAGACAATATTTCAGGCGATATATTATTGTTTCTCAGCAAAATTATCCAGTTTCTCATTAGATTCATAAGTGTTGGTCTACAACCTTGCTTGTAAGCCTTAAGCCGTAAGAAATTAACCAATTTCAGGTGAGAGTGAGGGAAATAAATGCCTGTGATTGGTAAATTTCTTACGGCTTAAGGCTTACAGCTTACTTAAAGCAAGGTTGTAGATCAACATTAATGCGATTTAATAATACTCTTTATCTACAAACTTTCTCTCGTATGAAATTCTCTATCGACACTGCATAATGCCACGTAATTAACAAAATGGTATGCCGATTAATAAAACGCGAGCGCATGATTGCCCGGGTTGGCATGTATCGGACGGACGGATTCGGAGCAGAACGGATTACCCGATTCGCCGAAATTCAATAGCCACCGCCGTTTGACGCGCATTGTTCGCGCGACGGCCAGATGCGTTAATTAACAAAAGGCCGTTAATGTATGAGCGTCTATCGCAGATGCGATTTTCAACCGATAACGATGATAAACGAGTTCGGATAATCCGACTCTCGCTTGTGCGCGGGATAGCGAAATAGTCCGATAGACGACAATCCCGGTATTTTCCTCGACCATTCCATTTTCCACAGCTATCGCGGTTAATACCGTTACAGTTAGGTGTAAATGTTTTCTTGAAAACAGAAATGAAAATATTTTAATTATAGATACAATATAGCATGCACGTGTTAATTTGTAACAATAATGTTGTTCTTTGCTCTGTGCCGAATTTACTTTATTGATATAACACATTAAATCGATATTATGGTTTTAATTAAACTAATTTTAGATAAAATGTGTGTATTTACTGCAAATGTATTTATTTGGCGGCCATTATTTCGTACAATTTAAAATTTTATTTAATGTAATTTACTACATCCTGCTCGGACCGTATTAACTTTCTTATTTCATATTGATTTATATCGTATCGGTCCATGTTTTAAATCCTTATTTTTATTTAATTTCATTCAATTGCTAAATATACGTAATGTATTATTTAATTCTCAAAAATCTCTAAACTTTTATTTGCTTATAAATTAAAAATTGTTGAAGCTCTGACGTTTCTAAGAATTCTGCAAATCTAGCCAAGGTGGATTAAAAAAAGTCTTACATAAAAGGAAGTCTACACGATCTGCAAAATTTTATTATATATAATAGTTTTGTAAATCATCTAAACTTTTATGCACACATTTTAATCTTTCTACGAACCTCGATATATTAAAAAAAAGGGTAGATTGAGCGAAAATATTATGTCCGGGATTTTTCTCCGGGAGTTCCTTTACACGCTTCACCGACGTTGCTCTTAAAGAAGAGCGAGGAACGATAAATTTGTTAATCAAGCGGCATTGGACGCATTTCGAATGTAGACGAGTGCCAGAGTTGGTGCTCGTAATTCGCGGGGGCGTTGGAGTATGAATGAGTCCCCACCATTGTCTTTCTCTCTTCAAGCTATCCCGTTCTCTCGCTAGTCGACCACCCCGTCATCTCTTACCAGCCCTACTCGTCCCCTCCATGTCCTTATTTTCTTCTTCTTTTCTCTCTGTCTCCCTCTCTCCCTCTCTCTCCCTCTCTCTCTCCCTCCCCCCCCCCCTCTCTCTCTCTCTCTCTCTCTCTTTCATTCCTTCATATCATCACTCTTTTTTGGTCCCTCTTCCTCACACCCACATCGACCGAAAGCAGCTCATATCGGGGGTCGGTTCTCTCTCCAAGTTCCACGCTTCTTTCGGTCAGTTTTCTCCCGTGAGTTGTACGCGCGCGTTCTTTCGTGAGGACCGGCTTCCGTGTCGTGCAGTCTTTAGGCCCTACAGCCACGAGAAACAGAACTAGTTGTGTTGAAATAAGAACTATTCCTCTTGGCATCCCGTGGATACCCGTAGAACGGGAGAGCCGCACTGTTCCACCATGCGCCATCGACTTTCGAGGTACACATTACATATAACGATTAGTGATATTTTTTATTTCCATTGGACTTATGAGATAAATGAGGCACCTAAATTATCTCGATTAGATTATTAATTTTCTTTTTGTTGCTCGTTGCTAAATTGAGACCCGAATATTTGTCTCTAACGTAAAAGTAACTTGTAAAATTTTCTTTTAAATAATGGTACAAAATTTATATACCACATATTTATAGCGATACATTTACACATTTTATAACATTTAATTGAAAATTTGTATATTAGTATACTTTCATATGTCGCAACTTACAAAACAAAGTATCGAAGCGGCTAAAAGATGAATTCCCGTTAAATAATATACGATTCGAAGACTTTTCATTCAAAATAGAAAACTACTCATCCCTTGGACAGTTACTCTTGCAGTTATTGAAACGATTTAGTATGAAGTGCGCAAGTTTACGTCTACTAGATCTTATTATTAAAAGTTTCACTTCTCCCGTCTTGAAATCGTTTGAACTTCAGTAATGTCATTCTATCTTAAAAGTGCAGTTTAACTTATTTGGAGATAACTACGGTATTATATAGAAAAAAAGAGAAAAAGGCAAGCGCACTTAACAGCAATAAAAAATAATTCCTTGCCAAACAAATTATATTGTGTACAGACATAAAACATTGAAACAAATTTTATTCTGAATTAATCTGATTTTACAATTAGTTCAAAGTACTTAAAAGAGTACTTACAAATTACTTATTGTTAGAAAAGCATCTTTCTCTCCTGATATTTTTTCTGTTTTCTCCCTTTCAAAAGTTAAGTTTTAAAATAAACACCATTTTTGTTATGCATATTAATTCTATCAATTTCATTGTATATTAGTGAAACTTTATCTCCATTCTATTCTAACATTCTTTAAAAAAAAGTATAGTTTCTTCACATTCTACTTGGGCAAATATTTTATGTTTGGTGTTAGACAATAGTAAATTAGTACGGTACTCATGTTATTTGTCGCGAGAAGTAATGTCACTCGTTCAAGAATCATCGTGAAGAGGATCTTACATTATTCATTCGTCGTTTCTACACGGCATTGGTCGATCGTTCGTAAATCGTTCGTTCCTGATCGCCCTCGACTCACTCTTCATTAAGACGTTCCCATTTAAATGAATGAATGAACGGATGAATGGATTTCAAGAAGCCGTCAGGAAGACCCCTTTCTTTATCCTTGAGCCTTTTAGTAACAAGACTCTGATTTATTACAAGTCGCAAATGCGCGTTAGTAAATCGCTCATTAGAATCCAAAAGCTTTTTAGACATGTTATGTTAACGTACATCATCATCTGCATAAAAATAATGTGCAAGAGAGAGACATTTTACGCGTGTATCTTATAAAAAATAATTTTGCCTCTGTGGTTGTGTAAAATATCGGGATATGTCATGCCTTTTTTAACATATTAAAATTTTAAGTTTACTCTCTCGCGCATTTTACTTTTCGTTTGTACTGTTCGATCAATAGCATAAAAATAAGAAAAAAGCAATAATGTTTTATTTTCTAGTCAACAAAAATTAATTGATACGACTCTTGTAAAACTAGCTTGCACAACAATATATTGAAACATTTTTGCACAGTTTAATTATCAATATTTCCGGTACACCTTGCACTTCTTATCTTAGATATATCAATCCAAATGTCCTTGTGTTTGCCTCATCTAGTTTTATGTCCTAGAAATGATGCATGTGCACGTTCGAGTGGAACAAATCGTTTCCTCTTATTAAAGCGCACCATTAAAAAGATAAAAAACGTGATTACCATTCTCTTTCCCACTGATGTAAAACAAACGTTTTATAGTTTACTTATACGCATATTTGTGCATTCGAGTCATATTAACGTTGTGTATTTTACGCAAAGTTTTTCTTTGTAAAAAATAGAAATTGCTGTTGTTAGGTGTAAAAACACAATGATCGTAATTGTTATAAATCCCAAGGGATTTTGCCAGCGAGAATTTAATAACGACGATAAGTGTACGTCTTAACATTTTATTTGGAAAACGGAGATTTGAATGCGTCATGCGGATTTATCAGTGAAAAATTTAATGAGACGAATCAAGTCGCGGTGGGATGAGGGGACAAAAGCGAAATTTGCGGCACCTCAGTATCGGTAGGCCGCAGGCCTGTGGTCCATGGCCGGTCGACGCAGCCTCCTCCCGGTTCCAGAGAGAATCGGAGTCACGTTCAGTCAGTGGCCGACTCCCGACCGTGGAGGTGGTGCGCGTTATCGCTCCTTCGGCTTCTCGACAGTGCGCCGAAAGGAGTTTTCTCACTTCTGCATATATTACAAGGCTCATCTTCATCGGGCATGACGAACATCAGGGGCACGTGGTTAGTCGAAAAAAAAAGTTTTTTTCCGTCTCTGTTGAAATCAGCTATGCTCCATTTCTTATATTCAGATTTCTTAAATAAGTTTTTCAATCACCGTGTGTGATCATTGAATGCTCGTCTTGGTCTTCTATTTCTTAGATCTAGATCTCAATCCCTCTGTCTCTATCTCTGTCTCTTATTCTCGTTCTCTCTCTCTCTCTCTCTCTTAGACCGGGAATCGATTTTCGTTTAGCCCGTTTTTATGAAGCGCACGGAAGTACCCAATTACGAAACCATTTAAAGGGAGTTTTAATTAAAGGTTGAGGTGGTTTTTGCGCTTAATTTGCTCGCTTTCTATCACGTCGCTCCTACTCAAAGATATAACGCGTAATTAATAATTATATTGTATACAGAATATTTATTTGCATTAATGAAGAGTTTCTCATATATTTACATTTTTTAGCCTTTCTATCTTTTCCTCGTTTTTCGTGGCAAATTAAGATCATGTGAGGATGTAGTCAAAATTTGATATTGATATCATAATTGCTATATACTTGAACGAATAAGCCGAGTTACTAAAAACGAATTTTGAATTGAGTTATCGTTCTAGTAATGGTGAGTAATTTAAAAATTTTGGTAATTCACACACTTACAGATATCCGCGCATACATTTGCGCAATGAAATTCTCTTCACCGTTTGAATTATGCCACAATTCCCCAAATGGTTTCGGTCGTTACACGTGTGAAAACACCGTTTCAGAAAAGTTTTCATCTTTGTCCGCCTAGCAAACGTTTACGTTTCTTCCGACACGCATAATTCGCACATGTTGAGAAACAGGAGATGGTCTCGTGAGTTCTTGGAGATGGAAAGGGCGGATTGGTCGACATGTGTGTCTCCTCCGACTGACTCATTTGTCAAAGTGATCCGAGCGCTTCCAATTAACTTATCATATACTGCTTATTATTTAGTTTCCAATTATCCAATAGAATTGTGTTATTTTTTAAAGCAATTTCATGTAATCGCACAGTGCTGTGACTACAAATGTAGCTATCGTCAACTTTTCATGTTGCGGTCACGCAGTGTCTACCATGTTTATACAATATACATGTTTCTCGTTATTTTAGTTTTATATATACATATATATGTAATGTAAATCCGGGTCGTATTTTACTGTTGCTTTTTCCCCTCTGTGCTATGCTGTCATGCAATATCTTCCTAATATATATTTTAATGGCGATTTGAACAACGCCAGCACTTCCAATCAGATTAGATGTTGCGATATGAATTATTACGTATTTACGCGAGTCAGGAAAATGTAATGTTTTGCCTTCGATTTACGGTTATAACAGTACTTCACTTGCGGTAGTTATAAAGGGTTATTGTAACGAGCTTTCAGGTGCCATTCTCCTGGCTAGCTTGGCAGGACAATGGTTTATGCTAATTCCTGCTGATTCTATGTAGACGTCTTTCCAAGCCCGTACACAGAATACGCGTGTAACGTGTCAGAATTTTAAATTTAACCGGTGTCACACTTGCAAACGATGCGAGATTTAACATTGCACTTGCGAATTTTTTCGTCCAATAGAATCACATTTTATATTTTACGAAAATATGAGAGATCAAAGAAGAGAAAATGTGAGTTTCGCACTTCGCTTATTTACCCCATTAATTTATCTCATTCACTTTTGTACGCACGTTTTAGACATTTATGTAACAACAAACAAATGTTTTCTATTTCATCTATTTATTAATTTTGTTAATTTCTTTAACATTTATTCACATATTCGATTCTTCCTTTGTCGCGATTAACAGATTCTAATAAATATTCCCCTCGTATTACATATCAACGCTAATGCCCGCTATTGCATTTTCGGAAATGCATCTCTTCAACAAGTATCTTCGTGCTGACATATAACAACATTACGAGGTTTGTCATTCGCGCGATTCCAACGAGTAGAGGGAAAGACAGTAGTTACCAACGTTCTGATATCTTTTTCGAATTTCAAATCCGAGAAACCCATTTTGTGGAACAAAGGGTTGTAGGCTTATGCAGAATAAACAATTTCATGTCGGCCGAATAAATACGTGTTCCAGTGCGGGTTCCGCGCTGTACATTCGCTCATAGAAATTTCCAACGCGAAAAGCACTCTGTCAGGTATACCCGGCCACATATGTTGCAGACAATCCTGCATTTCGTGGCTTATTTTAGTTTCCCTGGGAGAGGGGAGAGGGAGAGAAAGCTGTTATTTCTGTTCCATAAGTTAATACTCCAGGGCGGCCCTCGTGTTTGGTTAAATACCAGACACTATTCCGCTGTTTCAAAACACTCGAAAGTATTACGGTTTTGTTTATTGTTAGACGTTTCTGTTTGTATAAATGTGATTATCGCACGAGGGGGCGGGAGGGCGCGCTGTGGAAAGTAATTTTTAATCACAACTTGCGCATTCCTTGATCGCGGAAGATACATCGCGACGTACGCTCCTATTATTCCAAATTTTAATTAATTGCAACCTTGCGAGCTATTTGATCGATTGAAATAGGAGTTTGGAAACTTTGGGCGTTTACTAAAATGATAATTGATGAACCTACATTTTCAATAGTATTGCATAGTAAATTTTTCCTGTCCTTCTCGGTTACGCATGTATTCGTAGAAAACAAAACGGTTTATTTATT